CACCACCTGCAGCTGCGCCCACACCACCTGCAGCTCCTCTTGCCGCCCGGAACCCACCTCCTGCTGAGGCCCTGCCTCCGCGGGAGATGGATGTGGCTGACATCAGCAATATTGGACCCAACTGCAACCTGCAGGAGAAGTTCGCCTTGCTGAGGGACGCGCCAGGGGTGAGTGTGCGAGTGTGCGCTGGACTTGGATTGGAGCCTCACGGACCACACGAGGCTTCGGGGAGCGGCCGGTACCACCTGTACACTGCAGGCACGTTATCGGCAGCCCCGTATGACTGACTCTGTTCTGCCGCAGGTGACCCGGTTGTTCCGTGTGTTGTGCCACGAGGACCCCGCCTGGAGCCTCCAGCTGCTGCAGCGCGCCGCGCCCACGCTGGAGCGGCTGAGTGTGTACCACCCCCGCGAGGCCCACCTGCGCGCGGTGCACACCATCCCGGGGCTGAGGAGGCTTCACGTGGTGGGTGATACTGCCCTGGGCGCACGGCTCTCCGAGCTGCCCGCGCTGCCGCCGGGGCACGCCGGCCTGCAGTGGCTCAGGGTGGGCAACCTCCCCCGCGCCACGACACAGTCGCTGCTGCGGGCCCACGGGCGCACCCTGGAGAAGCTGCTGCTGTGGGTGGGTACGGGGAGGAATGAAGGTTGGCCAGGCAGCTGCGGTAACCTGCACATTCTGCTGCAGCAGAGCTGGCTGAGCGCCCTCAGGTGTCTCGTGCTGCGGAGGCCGGGTAGGAGCCACGAGCCAGCCGCCTGCAGGGAGCAGCGCGCCAAGGTGCGGCAAGTGCTGCCCGGGTCCGAGGTGTTGTGCGACACGTGTGACGGTGTGAGGCTGGAAGAGGTGTAGGGGCGGCGAGAAGCGGGGCTACAGGGCCACCGGGGTGTGTTGGAGTTCAAGGCGCAGACAACATCCCTCGTGATCTGTAAGCACGGCGGGACAAGGCACTGCGAGCGCACTGACGTTACCTGGTGGCCGGACACAGGCGCAGCCCACTCCTCGCGTGTGTTTAGTGGTGACTTGTCGCGTCGGTTGGCAAAACTCCTGCCGACCGGACCGCGCCTCGCGCTTGGCGGACCACACTGCAGTCCGCCAACCCTTAAATCACTCATTCGTGTACTGCATTATTCAATGAAGACATATAATTTAACATGTATGGGTACGGATTGAAAATAAATCAGGATGAAACTCAACGTTATTATTTTTATACCAACTGTAACATATGTTCATCTTTGTATCGAGGCGTGACAAAGCCATATGTATCGCCCTGTCAACTAGTGCAGGGTGACGAATCACCCGTTCAGTCGCCCCGGCGCGACCAGGGGGCCATGGTAGACGGGGAAGTCGTGCACCCAGATAAATGATTTCTTGTTTCAAGTGCATTTTGTACTGAGAGTGACACAAGATTAATTTTTTCTTGGTGCAAGATGAAATTACTTTATGAAGAAGAAAATGTTCTTACTCCAAAGGAAAAATCGTCTTGTGTCGAGGACAAATTAATCTTGTGTCACTTTTAGTACAAAATGTACTCGAAACAAGAAATCTTTTTTCTGGGTGTGGAGGGCAGCGTGTAGCTGGTGGTGCCGCTATCCAGAAACGGCATTCTCCCGCCTCAATTCTCCGGCCGGGGAGAGGGAGACAGAGCGCCCGGTTACTGCTGATAGCCAGCCGTGGCGAAGAACCTACTGGTGGCCGGCGGCGTCCGCCTGGGAGGTGGGCCGTCCCGTGGAGCATCACTGTCGAGCGGGACGGCCCCTGCCAGACTGGGGGGCGTGAAGGTCGTCGCGTTGCGTTGAACTCAGGTTTGGGGGGAGGGAGTGACACCTACGGGAGTCTCTCGTACATCGATATGTTCTTCCGAGCCCGAGGCCTACTGCCGGTCGCACCACCACCAGGGCGTTGGGCAGCGCGGTCCACCGCGGCGCCCAGGCTCTCGGCCTCATCCAGCGTCTCCGGCAGCGGCCGGCCCGTGGTCTCGGGGAACAGCAGCGCGAGCAGCCCGCTGGACAGCGACACGACGCCGAACAGCGTCAGCGGCAGCGACTCGCTCACGGTCGCCTGCGGCACGGGGGACTTACTTGTGGGCGCCGCCAACTCGTCAAG